TGTTTTGTAATCAGTTTCCATTTTGCAAGTTTACTTTTGTGAGTAGTGTGTGTCGTGTGTGTGTTTTCAAGGACCTGTACCAACAATTGGTATCAGAGCAACCAGCAGTAGATTCTGGACAGTTTCAACAGGGATGGTTGAACAGGTGGATCTTGTCAAAAATGAAGTTGCTTCGGTTGTGGTTCGAAGTTGGTGATCTTCAAAGAGAAGGTTCAGCAGGTAGCGGCTATGCATGGTGTCTTTCGGTGAAGCGGGTGATAGATTGTCGGTAGTGGGTTGATCACAGGAGGTTACCAGGTGGTTATCAGGAGCTGTTGTGTTAGGAAACATATGTCGGTTTCCAGTGGGTTGTTGGTGTTCAGCAATGCAGAAGATGATGCAGCAGGTGGTTGCGGCTTACTATGGTTTCCCGGAGAAGATGGTCGACGGGTGCTATGGTAGCGATGGAATGGTGATGATAGCAGGTGGCTATCAATAAAACAAAGGGAAGAATGGTCCCGGTGTAATAGATGGCTAATGTAGTTCAGTATGATGAGTCTAACCAGAAGCCGAGAAGACAAGTCTGAAGAAATCAGAACAGGTGGTTTTTTTGGTTTCGCTTGTTTGCATGTAAAAGAACACAGAAAAAGGAGAAGCTTGGTTTTCTTGATTGGTAGCGGTAGGAGAAGACTCTTGGAACAGGTAAAGGATTGAAGCTGAAAAGGGAGGTCTCGACATTGACAGCAGTGGCAGTTAAAGGATACTGTGACAGATTTGGCTTTGGATGTAGCCGAGGAAAAGGTCAGGGGTCCGGGAAAAGTCGAGAGAAGACTTTGGATGTGGCCGATGTGGAGGTCAAGTGTCCGGGAAAGGTCGAAACTCATAGTGGTTGTTGTCTTGGTAAAGCAGGTGGCTGGAAGATGGTACAACCGTATGGTGTTGGTTAAAAACAGTTGTTGTCGACGGGTTTTTGCAAGTGAAGCAAACGGTAGGTTGACGGTGAACAAAGGCTCTGAATATGGTGGTGTTCGTCGGTGGTTAATGGCGAAGAAACACTGTTGATGGGCGAGAACAAACCGATTAAGGGGGTGATTGTTGGATTAATCGGTTTGTTGTAATCCAAACGTGCAGCAAAATATTTGGTATTTATCTTTGACCGAGTTTTGAGGAAAATAAAAGGGATAGTGGTTACACTTTAGCATGGATACGTGGGCTAGCTAGATAGCATTTCTAGTATAAGTAGATGTACTTTGTTTTGTTTAGAATAGATAGGAAGATGTAGACTTTCAAATATTCCGTGTTTTGTAATCAGTTTCCATTTTGCAAGTTTACTTTTGTGAGTAGTGTGTGTTGTGTGTGTTTTCAAGGACCTGTACCAACATTCATATGGATTGCAAGAAACGATGCGGTATTTAGAAACAATATATTAAGTGAGAGGAGAAAACCATACAGACGCACTCAGAGTGAGGGTGATCAAGTGAATGCATGACTAATTAGTCGAATATTCATCCTCTAAATCAAGGCCCAACTCAACTAGCTCAACAGACAAAATCCCAACAAACTGAGTATTAGCCGAGTTGTGATATGGGCAAACCCAGATGACATGAAGACGATCGACGTGAGCCTAGCTCTAGCCGACAAAGACTTTTGGTATCCTATTATTGAATTGTTACCGATTGATTGGATTGTGTTTTACCCACTGACACTACCCTTGGTGCATTATTACCGGTTGGAGAAATGTTAATGTGTTTATATTAAACTAACTTTAAAGTAATACCAACTAATCATAGGATTAATCACATAAAAAAAAACAATAAAAAAACAAACAAACAAATATAAATACTCTTATATAGTATAGAGATTGATCAAAACTTTTTCGCGATTTAATTAATAGTTCTACGACGTGGAAACTCTTAACATTTTAGTGAATTAACTATCTGCAGCTTTAATGTTACAATCAAACTGCAAATTCATTTGTTTAAAGTAGGAGTTGATATTAACCACAAGTTGACTGATTAAATATTGGGAGGTTGCATGTGTTAGATAACCAGTACATACCTTCTTCAGAAACCTCAGGCGGATCATAGATGTTTTGCAATTTTCTCCACACATCTTTGACGGAGTCAAGATTAAAAACATGGATGAGTAAATTTTGGTTAATGGATCCGAAAATCCAACCTTTGAGAAGAGTGTTGTATTGGTCCATGATCTCCACGGTTGAAGCTGTGGGACCATGATCAACTGTGTCATCCACAAGCCCAACCATATTGTGAATCTTCAGTATGCAAAGCATCTGTGTCTTCCAAAGAGGATAAGTTTCATCGCTAGAAAGCCTCACTGAAACGAAGCTAGAAATATTAGCATTAGATGCATTCAGAAGAGTATCTGCTGTATAGGTAAATTGTTCACGAGCAGGGGTTGATGAAACATCAGGAGGGTTTAATAAGCCTTTCATTTGAATGTAGTATAGCTTGATGGACGGATGTAATCGGTAGAGAAAATAAGGTTGTGTAAGGTAAAGTTAGATTGAAATTCCAACTAATAGGGAAAACTAAGAGGGAAAACTACTGTTGAGGACATTAGTAAGGGTTCTATATATAGCAAAGGAAAATAAACTTTAGGTTTTGTACAAAAATATAACTAATTAACTTTTCTTACACTTATATCCAATAATAATTAATTCTATACACGCACGTGTTACCATTTGTTCTTAATTTTGTATATAATTACCAATAATCTTTTAACATCATTTAAAAATACCATTGGATTTTATTATATAAATTTATCCTGTTATTGATTAATTATTTGACATGTAGTAGCTGCCACATGAGTTAATGTGAAAGGAGAAAAAAGGGTTCTAACTCGGGTACCACTGTCTTTAGCCTAGCGGTAATAGTGACACTCTCAAATAAAAGATCATCGGTTCAAGTCTCATTAGGAGACATAGGTGATTTTAGGATTAGGTTAGTTTGTCGGTTCAAAAAAAAAAAAAAACTCGGGAACCACTAAATTGTGAAACCATTTTATGAACAACCCTTTGCCGAAGGTATTTAATGCATACCAGGAAAACCTTTTCCGGAGAAGATTACAGGAGTCAAACTCAAGACATCCCTCATAAGCTAAATAAATTGATTACCATTAAGGCTATTTGGTGTGGTGCCATTGGCACCATATGCCATTTTAGATTCTATATAAGAATTTAATGTTTTGCCTATGAAGATTTGGGTATTGAGGAGTAATGTTCTTGGCAAAAAAGAGTAGAAAGAAGACGAGGAAGAATGAATTTGAACCGTAAAGGAGGAAAGAGATCGGTAGACTTCTACATATTTATGTGTTTATTTATATATATTTTTACTTAATATTACTCGCTAATACTTTTTTTCATTAAAAACATATATTTTCTTGCATATAAATACAAATCTTTACATTTGAAACCTAATTTTATGTATTATTATGTATTTTTTAAATTTAAACTGAGTTTTACTATAAAAATATACATTACAAATTAAATGACAACACACATTTTCAATAGCATATGTTTAAGGTGTCATTGTATCATTGTTTTTTGTGTCATTTATTATGTGTCACTAAAAAAATTAATATATTTAATGACACTTAACCTTTTGTGTCACTAAAATTCATAGTTATTAGTGGCATAATGACTTGATACACCACTAAAAGTTTTGTTTTATTAAAATATTTCATTGATAATTCTTATAATAACTAAAAAATTATTTTATATTTCTCATTTAAAACTGTATTATATATATTTATTGAAATCTATTACAATATATTAATTGATTTGTGAGTTGTGATGCAAAACAAAATAAAGAACCCATATGACATCAATAACGCAACCCACACACTGAAGATATCAGAACCTACTCTCACTCCTGCCAACACTGATTTGAATGCACCGTCACCACCCTCTCTTCGTCGACGTTGGACCATCACGCCAGCGTCGGCCTGTATCGATGCTTCCTTTAGCGCCGCTGTTGCATCCTCAATCTTGCGGTTAGGCATTTATGTTGCTCGAATAACATATTTACATATTTCATTTATTGGTAAGTTTCAAGTTGTCGATTTGTTGCAAACTTGTTGACCAAACTGTTAGGGTTTATCCATTTTATGAGATATTATCACCACTAGTACCATTAAGAACTCCCCTTGGATATTTTTTTCAATATTAGAGCTGGTGATTTCATTTTAAGTTTCTCACCTTATAAAATATATAAACTATAATCTATGCACACCCTAAAAAACATATATGAAGGCAATTTATAGTCAATTACCACATTGATTCCTACTCTAGAGGTTGATTACGTAATTACAATCCCAATCCAATTATATTGTTTGTTCAAATAGCTCTCATGCCTCTGGTAATGTCCCAACATTAATTGAGTTCTTTAAAGTCTAGGTTTGACTTTAATAAGTCAAATTTAGTCATTACTTCATTGATTCAATTGAACTTGTGACTTCATTTTGACTTTCTCATTGATTAATCAACAATTTCAATCAATTTAATTATTTTAAACTTTATAAGATATTTGGATGCTACATATGGCCATTTCACTTAATGTTTACTTGGTTTCTTTTTTCTATTAGACTATTATTGAATATGCAATTATTAGTTTTTAGAATCTATTGCAAACTTGATCTTTTATTGTTATTCCTGTGATCACTAAACTTAACCTTGCACCTTTTGTGTTGTCAAAGAAAAATAGAAGATGATGGGAAACATTTGTGGTGTGTAGTTTATGGTGCATTGCCTCCCTAGCTTCAAACAAGGCATGCATTTACTTCTTTCTGCTCACAATTGGTATTATGTTTGTGTTGTATCACAATATAGCTATTTTGCTTGGTTTGTTTTTCTTATTTTTTTTCTAAGATAATACTTTTGAATCTTATTTTATTTTCTATCATGTTGTTGAGTTTGACATTTCCTTTGTTGAACATTTGTGTAACAACCCGATATTTCGAATCAATGTAACGATCCAAAGTCAAGTTTGGTAACTTATCTTAATATAATAGGAATAACGTCAAAAATGAAATGTTCAAAAATCTCAATGTGAATGTACTAAGTGGTAGATATCGTATCAAGGTTTTCAAAAATATAAAGAACACAAAAATCCGAGTTATAACGAAGAAGTTATGACCAATTGAAAATCCGCAACAAAACCGGCAAGACACTGTTAAGCGTAAAATACGAAATTTCAATAAAATACTTTTCAGCCATAAGTATCTAAATATATTCGTAGATATCACTAAACCGTAAGCATACATAAAGAGAACGCCCAAATCTGACTTCGTATGAGGAAGTTATGATTTTTTGAAGTTTCAGACATAGCAGTAGACAGCTAAAAACTCGAAATAGAGATCGAGCGACTTTTAGCCAATGCAACCTTAACGAGAATCGAAGATCTCAACAATAGTAGTACAACGGTAAAAATACAGACAAAATCGGACGTCGGATGAAGAAGTTATGGATTTTTAACGGACTTTTCCAGTCCCGGCCTGTTAAAAATAAAGACAAAATTAGCCGACGGAGTCTAAACGAGAGTTGTAGAGCATATTCCCACCTACGCGTGCATATATAGAACGTCGAAAACGGAGCTCGTACGCAGAAGTTACGGATTTTACAAGTTCGAGATACAAAATCTGAGGCTGTCACTGGCCACGACGTGGCACAGATGGTCACGACGTGGGACCATGACTGATGGGTTTTCAGGCTTGGCAGCAGACGTCTCGTCCATGGAAGAGGATAGGATCGACTCCACGACGTGGGCAACCCTTTTGCCACGACGTGGGACCCAAAAATTGGGCTATAAATAGAGCTTAAAGGGTTCCGGGTTTCATTGCTCAATTCTCTTCTTTCTCGTGCCGAAGCTCTGCGTTTAAACCCTCGAAGCCATCCCAAAGCCCCGGTCTTCACATCCAAGTTTCCGAAGGAAGGTTTTACATTCCCGAGATTCCCGAGAATCCCGAGAAATCAGCTTTCTCCAGTCGAAGTTCTGCTCGATCTTTGTCTCACCTTCTTCAAGCTACCAAGTGAGTTCATACCCCTATCACTAAGTTTTTAAATGCTTTTTAAATGCTTTTAAGCGCTTTTAAGGGGGGGAATACAAGTAAACACACGGTTACTTACAAATCATAGTCTTGGACATTTGAGACTACTCCTCATTGTTAGGAAAATATAGGTTTTTCC